CGCACTTGATAGATGTCGTAGATAAGCTGCTTCCATAAGCATCGCTGGATATCAGCAAAGATGCTGGCAACAGCTTATCCACACAACTTTATCAAGTGCGCAGCAGCACGTCACTTCCGGTGACATGCCTACCCCAACTCTCGGATGACTGTAAAAATTTTCGTAGAGTTTTTCATTGTCGCCTACTGTCCTAAGCTCCTACAGCGTGAACTATGAACACGGTTTCATAGAAGTAATAGAGATGGTAGAAATGGAGGGCACATCTCCAAAAGCTCCTAGTTAGCATTGAGTGTTCTTTTTTCAACTCTAGCATACAATAAAAGTAAGGCGAGCCACGTGCAGGACAGAATCCCTAGCAATCAGACCGAACCGTCTTGATGTGTAGCAAGAGGTCACTACGCGAAGTCGCGATCTCTTGCAGTTTCAGTCACGCGCCGGATACCCGACAAGGAAGGCCCGTCGCGCGCAAGAAGGCAGAGTCAGCGGACGAGTCGCAGCGCGTACTGTAGGGATTTCGCGTCAAGTTAAATAGAATGTCCATTGCACGTCCTACATCGCACATCACGCGCTGCGACTCGTCCGCTGACTCTGCCTTCTTGCCGCGCGACGGGCCTCCTGTCGGGTACCCCATAGCGCCAGATGGGAATAGGCGTATGGGAATAGGCATCGTGTTCACGTTGGGAATGCAATGTTGAAGTACGATAACGACGGTGTGCAAAGCACTAATTTTTGCAATTACCCATCCTTATAGATGTGGCGATAGTGAATAGAGTGAACAGTTGTCATTAAGGCTACAACATTTTCTGTGTAATTTCAAGCTTCCTGACGACCTGAAGGCTGTGCGTCGAATAACATAAAGCATGGATTTGGAACGGTAGTAATGCGCGCAATTATTTTTAACGCCCAGAATTATTTCTATGTCGTCATTTGCTAGCGTCGCTCGCTTTTTGCACCCAACTGAAGGCCAGTGGCAGAGTACAGTGTTCTCCAGTCACATTGAAGTAGAGAATGTTTTTTGATGGGAGGTGTGACCGTCATCTTCCATTAGCGGTGTCCTATCCATTCCAGTCCCGTTTCCGACTCCGAATCACCTGACGCGAATGTTCATTTGATAGTGGCTGATAGACATTCTCATTCACTGATATGCGTTTTCTTTCTAGGCAAATCCTTAGCCGTTAAGATTCTTCGTGCTTTTACTCCTATTGATTTGTGAATAACACCACCACTAGTTTGTCGCGTAACCGTCTCTTGCTGATTGAGCAATTCTCGTTTGATTGATTTCTTTTTAAGAGCTCTCATAGCTTCAAGCTATTGATTTCTTTTTCAGAGCTCTCATAGCTTCAAGCTAGTCTGCAAATTCGCCTTGCCTTATTCAATCGTTACCTACTTGTCAATTTACGTGAATTCGAAAACCTTCGAAAGAAGTGAGTTTTTAATTCATTCATATGCTAATCTGAATGCACCCTGTTGTTCGTCAAAAAAAAAACAGCCGAATCAAGAAGTTGAGGGTGTAAGGGCAGTAAAGATGAACACCAAGTTGATAAAGGGCAATCCTGGCAGATGTTTCTAACTGAAGTCATCGATCGAGGAACTGCCTGCATAATGCCCTATAAACCGTTTTTTTTTATTACGTTAGAGCAACAACCTTAGGAACCGTATCCTAAGCTCATCCCAGGGAAGTGTCCCTGCCACCGATTCATTCCCAAGGTCGGGGAAGACAGGGTTGCGTCACAGGGTCCGCTACCCTCAGTGTTTCCACACTCCAAGCCAGAGGGATTGCGCCCTCAGAGAAAAGTGCATCAGCAGGGGAGTGTAGCTGCAACATCAGCCGTTTAAGTGGGTACATGACGTAACCTCCCCCCCCCCCCCAATCATAGGATTGAATCGGCGCACGGGGGCGATAGGATATGGCCCCAGATGGTAAACAATTGCTACTAACCTGGAGATATCAGATCTAGTCGCAGAAGATTATGAATTTTGCTAGTAGTAAAACTTACGTTGACTACACGTTATGAGCGTTGGATAGAAGCCAACTCTGGTCCGTCCGCTTTTTGATCGACACACCCCCTTGGTAGCCGTGAAGATCGCACGTAAAGAGGATACGATGCAGCGGATAAGATGGCCGATAGATTCAATAGGTAGCGTACACGCTTTGCACTGATTGACTTCTCTGTTATTTAATTAACCCATTCGCGACAATGTCAGCCACCGGTGGCTGACGCGAAGATGTCCACTTCGGACCATGTCAGCCACCGGGTGGCTGACGGGCTTTAAAGGAATTTTTGAAAACAAAAGGAGGTCTCTGGGAGATTTTCTTTGCTGTGAAGAATCTTCATACCCTCATCTATCTAGGCCACCCCTGGGCAAAGGAAATCTCTATCCACTAGAATTTTATTGAAGAAAAAATAACCCGACTTAAAAATTTCACCGAAAAAGTTGAAAATTTTTTTTCCGCTGAAACTTTTCCCATAGGGGTTTTCGAGGGTCCTGATCTCAAATATGATATCCATTTTTGGCGCTGGCGCCAAATTGGCGCCATTTGGCGCCAGTTGGCGCCAAGGGTGTATTCACCAAATTCGCTGTAAACTTGCGTATGGGGGTTATTTGAGGCCCTGATTACGAATATGACATTCGTTTTTAGCGCTGGCGCCAAATTGGCGCCATTTGGCGCCAGTTGGCGCCAAGGGTGTATTCACCAAATTCGCTGTAAACTTGCGTATGGGGGTTATTTGAGGCCTGATTACGAATATGACATTCGTTTTATCGTTAGCGCTATTTAACACCTGTTTCCTGCTCGCCTGCACCTTCTCACTATTGGATCCAATCAGGACTAACAAGGGGGGTCGTTCAGGATGTTGAAAGCTTTTTCGAAACGGTTTTCTGTATGTTATGGGAGCTCATGCGTATACTACGAAACCGAGGTATATTTCCGCTGAGCGGCCCCGCGAAGGCCAAAAAAGGTGAGGAAACGGTCCAAGGTTCAATCCCTCATAATGACAAAATTTTTGCATTTAGGTTGGAGCTTCCCAATTTGCTCTAAAAACACCAGGAATTATAATGTTCATTATAAAGACCATCAGTAACTAATGCTTTCAGATTTTCACCATAACGTGGCACCGTGGAAAAAAGTTGTTACGCCAGAGGGGCGCCAAATGGCGCCGTAGCGCAAATTGGCGTAGCAAGTGGCGTAGACTTTGGCAATCAAAAAAATGAATGTCATATTCGTAATGAGGGTCCCAAACATCCCCTACATACAAGTTTACATCGAATTTGACGAAATTCAGTCAGGGCGCCATCTGGCGCCAAATGGCGCCAATTTGGCGCCAGCGCCAAAAACGAATCTCATATTCGTAATCAGGGTCCTCAAATAACCCCTATATACAAGTTTACATCGAATTTGACGAAACTCAGTCATGGCGCCATCTGGCGCCAAAAAGGCGCCAATTTGGCGCCAGCGCTAAAAACGAATGTCATATTCGTAATCAGGGCCTCAAATAACCCCCATACGCAAGTTTACAGCGAATTTGGTGAATACACCCTTGGCGCCAACTGGCGCCAAATGGCGCCAATTTGGCGCCAGCGCCAAAAACGAATGTCATATTCGTAATCAGGGCCTCAAATAACCCCTATACAAGTTTACATCGAATTTGACGAAATTCAGTCAGGGCGCCATCTGGCGCCAAATGGCGCCAATTTGGCGCCAGCGCCAAAAATAAATCTCATATTCGTAATCAGGGTCTCAAATAACCCCTATATACAAGTTTACATCGAATTTGACGAAACTCAGTCATGGCGCCATCTGGCGCCAAAAGGCGCCAATTTGGCGCCAGCGCCAAAAACGAATCTCATATTCGTAATCAGGGCCTCAAATAACCCCTATATACAAGTTTACATCGAGTTTGACGAAATTCAGTCAGGGCGCCATCTGGCGCCAAATGGCGCCAATTTGGCGCCAGAGCCAAAAATGAATCCCATAATCGTGATCAGGACCCTTGATAACCTCTATGGGAGAAGTTTCAGCGTGAACTACGGATGACATATAGAAAAAACTAAAAAAATACAAGATGGATTTCCCCTGGGACAATGTCAGCCACCGGTGGCTGACATTGCGCAATCGTCTCTGACGGCGCTGGTCCGAACGGGCAGTCTTCGAAAATCCCGCCCGGTCGCCTCATTCCTCCCTCGCCGGGGCCCCCGAGTGGGTTAATAGTCTGTACCATGGCTTCCTTAAGGTTATCCTCAATAATGGGACACAGAGTAGGCGTCTTTTTTATACGGTTCCATTGGCGGCTTCCTTGTTTGTTTTTTTCGTTTTTCCAGTCAGCACGGTATCCAACCTTTCATGTTCTGCCGCTGCTATGCACAACCTGATCTAGGGCGGTTGCTTTAAATCGTAGGCACTGCTTGGAACGCTTTCACAATATCTTGAACGTTGCACAGTAGCGCTTGTGCTTGTGTCAACCATTTTTAGCAGTTAACTTTTCAAGGTCTTAGTGAATTTTTTGACTCAGTAATCATTGAATCGACCCATATACTCATTGGAGAGATTACAGGCGGTTCAATCTCGTAAAAGGAAGGGACATCAGCATTTCATGTGATTTTTCTCTCAAACAAAGTTTTTATCATCTTTGGAGTGCAAATTCAAAAAGTCTGCGGGTCCCGATATTTCAGTCACCCTTCTTAATAGTTGGGTCTGATTATTCACGCAAGACAAGATGCCAGTGAACGACGAAAGTGGTATTACCGTTTTGCATTTTAGAATGAGCGACATATCATCGTTTGCTGAGACTGAACAACAAAACTTCTGCGATGCTTTCCTGCCGAGCGCTGCCCTAGCCTCGTGGGGTGTTTGGGGAGAGGAAGAACCTTCTTTCGCCGACCGTACCGTGAGTTTGCCGTTATATTTACGTTGAAAGCTCCTTGTATACAAATGTGGCCCTCTTAATGCCCTGCTTTCCTTACATCAGCCAGATTCAATTAAAGTTCTAATGCTGCCTATACTCCCTGGGCCTATGGCCTGGAGCACTATTTCTTTCAGCTTTTGCTCTTGGACTCTTTTTTTTCCTGAAGTTCTTGAATCATAGAACTTTTGAGCTGTGTAAATAAATTGCAGGTCATATAAATAAGGCTTCATTGTCGCGTTGCGAAGAAGTGAAACATACCTTGCTAGTGTCTCTGAGTCTCGTCAATGAGAACATCCAGCCTTGCGTTGTGGTCAGTATGCTTTACAAGAGTGTAAATCCGACCATTTGCAGGAAAGCACTTTGCGGGATCGTTGCGGTGGATCATGCGTTAATCAACAGTCCACCACGTCGGGTAAACGAGGAAAGTGTGTTTTTAAGTGGGCCGAAGCCACCACCGCCACCACTGCTGACTTCTCAACTGCCTCAATCACCTCCATGCCATGTGAGACCCCGGTATGTGGTAATCCTTTCTTTCATATTCTTGACTATTTTTAATCTTTTACAATTGCTTGCATTTCAGACTGGCCCATCCCCGTCATGTTTTGGTTGTGGACAAGGAGGGTGTTGTGTCCCAGGATATTCCTCGTATCATCTCTCCGTCGTCAGTTCTATCGAGCAGGTCGGTAAGAGGAACAAGAGTGGAAAGCATGAAAAAGCATGAAGAGAAGAGTGCTGCTAGATTACGTTAGATGGAGCTCTGGAAATGAAAATGAGTTTGATAGTATTGAATCAATCGACTCCTTGAATGTGTACTATGACGTTTTTAATTTATTTTTAATTTCACCTCTTATGTCATCTTTCCTGAAATCATCTCTTACAGCTCATTATCACCATTCTCTAAACATGTGGAAGAAAATCATCAACTCAGCAGCCCCTATCTTTATGAAAATGCCAATGAATATCCCCACATGCTTGAATCACCGTACAATTTGTCTCAATCTGTTGCAAAATCTCTATCACCATTTGAACATTCCGCCAGCTACGCAACCAGCACCGCCGACAGGTAAGGGAAATTTTTCGTTCTTATCAAATCTAATCCATACAAATTTTTCAGCGATTTCGATTACTCACATCTTATTTGTTCTCATAATATCGAAGATTTTGGGGATGACATTGCTTATGGCCAGTCAGGTAATATTCATATTATCATTCATGTATTGTGGGTACTAGAATGGATGGTTCATTTCAGCAAGCAGTTCCTTCGCATCTCCTCAAGAAGTTTCTTCTCAGTTACAAGCAACACCTGACTTTTCATTCATTGACAGCATCTACGAAAGTGTAAAGCAGAGATAGAAGCAGAAAAGGTAGGTCTTATATCCATCTAACACTTATAACTTGGTATCTTGTAGGCTATACGGCACTATTCAACTATTACTGCCCCAAAATCTCAAAATTTTATTTTTCGTCGAAACTTCGCCTATAGGGGTAATTCGATGCCCTGATTACGAAAATGACATTCATTTTTGACGCTGGCGCCATTTGGCGCCAATTTGGCGCCAGGGCTGTTTTCACCAAATTCGCTGTAAACTTGTATACAGGGGTTATTTGGGGTCCTGATCACGAATATAACATTCATTTTTCCCGCTAGCGCCAGTGGGCGCCTGTTTTCCGCTCGTCTGCGCCCTCTCACTGATCACTCGCGATCAGGACTAAGCCTTTGAGGAGGGGAGTGCTCCGAAGTGAATAACACTTATCCTGTGATCTTATACGCTTTAACATTTGCCACATGTTGACTGGTTCACCCACCCCGGAGTCCTCCCTCCTTCTAGGCTTAGTCCTAGGTATTATGTACAAGTGAGAGGACCCAGGAAAATGGAAAATGTGCGTTGAACGGTGGAAATGCTAAAAACGAATGACATATCCGTAATCAGGACCCTAAATAACCCCTGTATACAAGTTTACAGCGAATTTGGTGAAAACAGCCCTGGCGCCAAATGGCGCCAGCGCCAAAAATGAATGTCATTTTCGTAATCAGGGCATCGAATAACCCCTATGGGCGAAGTTTCGACGAAAATCAAAATTTTGAGATTTTGGGGTTGTAATAGTTGAATAGTGCCGGCTGTTCAAATATATTTTTTATTTGACGCAATACTTTCGTTCTGCTGTGACAATGTAGACTGAATGTAATGCTAAAAAATAGAAATTTACTCGAAGATAGTGGGCACGGCCTCAGAAGCTTAGACTCACTGACAGCAATATGATAAGCTAGTTCAGCATTACTCAAGCTAATGACCACTATCAAAAAACTACAGGATTGATACTTCATTAGTAAATGCGAGACACTATTTCGAACCTTTTTCGCATGATTTAAGCTGGTTTGTAGTACTCCTGCTGTAATCGTAGTGAATCGCATATAATCATAGAAGTGACACCTTCCAGACTGTCGCGAGCCCTCCTGATGCCACAGTTGATGTTCCTAGCACTACGCCGGTCATCACACTGGGTGTCGACTCGCCTGTGACAATAGTTGCTGTGGATGGAAAAGAATACAAAGTAGTTCTACAAGAAGTCAAGCAAGATCCTAAAATTGGAGCTAAGAGGAAAGCATCTGCAGCAGAGGTATGGAAATTAATTTTCACGCCATTTTGGCATTTGGCGACATTTAGAACAAGATGTTTTTACAGCCCCAGTGCTCCAAAGCCCAAGCGAGCTCCTGGTATCCCATTAGCAAACATGTCGATCGAAGAAATCAACGCCCGAAAAAGAGAGCAGAACAGAGTTGCTGCGCAACGCTATCGTGAGAAGAAAAGAAACTGTAAAGAGACGGAGAAAGAAGAGAGAATCATGCTGGTAAATTACTGGTACTATTCAAGTACATCTGTACTTACCTTTATTAGCTACGCTTAACGCTCCATATGTAAAGCTGGGAAGGAACGTGATCTAGGAAATTATGTGGCCTAACCATAAGATTTCATCACTACACTATCCCTTGTAGTCAAACTCGCCTCAATCCTATTTTGTTGGTTTGCGCTCCTGATTCAATCCATCATTCAGGATTGTTCTCTTGCAGTGGCACAGTGGTGGCTAGGGTGGCCAAGACCAAGGAATTCCTTCTGAGTTTAGGTATCCGATTGAGTGGTTTAGCGTTGTTTTACGAAAGTGAAGTATATTAGAATATATGGGACTTGAGGGGAATGGTCATAGGATGTGAGAAGTGGGAGAGGGGATCATTTACATATGGAAGAGGGAGAGGGAGAGAGCCCGCGCGTTTAAGAATTGCTCCGACAGCGCGGGTCCCATGGTGTGATATTTGGTCAGTCTTCGTCGTTTTAGTTCGCCGTGCCACGGCTATTGACAGTACGTGAGTTGTTTAAACGTAGTTACCTTTAGCTACTAGGTTTGATTTCGAGAATCAGTTGAGTTTCCACTCAGGTCGCGAATTTCAGGAGGAGGAACGACTTGAGAAGCGCAACTCTTTCCTACGCGCAGAAGCTGTACGTCTTCAGGACGAGATAGATGAGCTTAGGAAGGCGATCCTTGGAGGAGTTGCAGTGCGATAGCTTATCACTCGTGGAAAATCAGACGATAACATGAATGCAAAGTGTTGCTGCACGCGATCGCCCGGGCCATTTTAAACATGATCTTCTCAGTGAGGTGCATGTGTTCTTTGAATGTGGAGTTCCAAATTCGTATCTTCATTCCCTGACTTTTGAGAATACGTTTTTTCCTAAAGTCATATGGACCTTTCATGTTTCAATGTTTTTTTGTCAAATGACTAGAGTGGCGCACTGTTTGTAGCATATCTGTTCAAGATCTTCCGTAATAACTTCGTATAGCATACATGCAAAACCACACAACACTGTGAGATGATTAGGGAAATGCACCGGCCACCACTACAACTCAACGTCGAGCGACAATCTGCGTGGGAGCCGCGAACTTCAGCACGCTTTCCCACCGAGTGCCACAGACAAGCAGAGCCGCTACAAACCGACCACGTCACCCGCAGCCTCCAATGGGCACCACCGCTGCCTTGCGGTTCGCAACTTCGTACTTAATTGCGACCTAGATGGCTTCTGTGCAAAATGACGAATGACTGGCTTTTGTAACGGACATCTTTCGAACTCAGTTTTGCGCAAATGCTTTCTATTCTTCAACCTACCTCAACCCAGCCTGCAACTTAGGTGCGAACAGAATGATGTATTAGAAAGACCCGCCTTATCTTTGCTTACAGTGTGCAGTTTTTCATGACGGGAATTCTGCAAGATTCTCCTCCACTCCACATCCAGGCACATTTCGAGTGATCTGTCACGAACACTGTTAGCCGCGCGTGTCTTTTCAATGCAATCTATCTTCCACTTTCGCTCATCACACGTCGTTATAAAGCAAGATATGAGATCAATAGGCGTGAGATTCAGGTGCAGCCTCTCAACTTGCTTGAACTTTCTTCGTCAGTGTCTTGACTCTCATGGACGGGCACCCAACCCACCCTCCGCAACACCCACAACAACACCACACCCACCCGCTATGCTTCTTCCTATCACCTGGCCTAGCTCCTGTTCCGATGATGCCTGTTCCGTATTTGTTCATACTACTTGTATTTTCATTCAATGTCGATTGTTGATAATCAATTATCCAGTTTGGTACGATAGCGTCTTTTTACAAAGTTCAGTTAAGTTTCAGTATCGAATAATGGAGTATTTTTAGGGTTTGGTTGAGGTGTCAATATGTAGTTTCGTTTGGAGTTTCGTCCATCTAATTTTTTCGTATAAACCTATGCATAATGCTTCTAAACCTTATGCACTGTTGCGTTTTGTGTAGCATATTGTATTCCAAGCTCAGAACTTAACCAAGCTAGACAGCACACCACCGACCGGGATTTGTTGGCACACTTCTTCAAGTCCATTAGTCAGACTTTCGTATTAACGCCACAGCAAGAGAAAAGGACGATGCCAGATATAGGAAGTAAAGTTACCACACACAGAGTTCGCACATATTTCACCTCCTGCAGTCCCGGTCTTGTAAAGCGCTATACAGTTTGCCCAGCAAACGCTCGGATATTGTGTTGTTTCTTCTGTGCCATACAGGTTGTTATGGTGGAACACGTTTATTGGTCAACGTTTCGACAATTCGTCGTCTTCAGGACCTGAAACTGGTTCGAAGTCCTAGCTCTGTAGCTCACCCGGTAAAGCGCCTAATCTTACTGAGTTCCCGGAAAAGTGAAATAGTACAAAATAAACCAAATAATCGCTCGTTTTTTCTACCGTTTCACTTTTCCGGGAACTCAGTAAGATTAGGCGCTCTTACCGGGTGAGCTACAGAGCTAGGACTTTCGAACCAGTTTCAGGTCCTGAAGACGACGAATTGTCGAAACGTTGACCAATAAACGTGTTCCACCATAACAACCTGTATGGCACAGAAGAAACAACACAATATCCGAAATGCCCAGGTTCCAAGAAAACCGAACATGGAACTTATTGCTCGGTATTGTAGCAGCCCTTAAATGCATATGAGGCGGATGCGACTTTCAAAGTGAGCTGACGTACGCATCATCAATACGAGCGCGATACCAGTTGATTGATACCCCATGAATGGAAAGCTTGGCTAGCATAGACCGCCGGTGCAAGTTTCATCCCTGAACAGGGTCAACCGTTCGTTGTCCCAATTCCAAAATTTTTAAGACTCTTTTTCTTATAGGCACGAGTTAGGCTTAGTGGACCGAAACAATCCCTTTTGTCGTCCTTGTGCATGGCACTACGCACTCACAGAGACGTTAGGCTGCTTTCATAGTTCGCATCGGTGCGGTCGGTGCCGACGGTGCCGACGGCGCCGACCGCACCGACAGTGTGAAGAGCGTCAATATGCGCTCTGGCGCATGACGTGTACGTTGGGCGCAGATGGCGCGCTCCGATCGATAATCTTGGGTTTGGTGTACTTCTTGTCTTCAGTCTTCCTTTTATAAGTGTGTTTTCTGTTGATACTTATTTTTTATGTCTTCATGAGTACTTTTCAGTTGTTCCGCGGACGAGCGACGTCGTATAACCCCGTGTGAAGTGGCTTCAAGACCCAGTGATTTCATCATGAGCAATTCTGTTTATTCGAGTGAACTGTATGTTTCCAGTAGTTGCTTTCTCTTCGATACAATTTTCCTGCTGGTGTGCGAATAATTAAATTACCAAGATCCGGCGGCCTTTCGCACACCAGCAGGAAATCGTATCGAAGAAAAAGCAATTTCTAAATTTATAGAGTCCACTCGAATAAACAAAATTGCTTATGATGAACTCACCCAGTATAGCCACTCGGGGTAGTACGACGGGGTTCAACGAAGTCGTGGAACAGCTGAAAAGTATTAATCAAGACATTAAAGAAAAGTATGAACAGAAAACACACGAATGAATGCAACACGGCGCGAAAAAAAACATCGAAAAGCACAAGAAATACACAAAAAACAACGGCATCGATCGGAGCCCCACATCTGCGCCCAGCGCACGCGTCATGCGCCAGAGCGCATATTGACGCTCTTCACACTGTCGGTGCGGTCGGCGCGCTCGGCGGCGCCGTCGGCACCGACCGCACCGATGCGAACTATGAAAGCAGCCTATACCCATTGCGCAGAATCCCCAAACGGCCGCGTAGGTAAGGCTCCAGCAAAGTCGGCCTATCCCGTTGTTACTTTTCGAAAAATTTTTACGACGTTCCACACTTCCACCATCTCCATCTTCCATCAAAACCCCGCCCACTTTTTCCTTCCAAAAATGCCGTCGAGTAGGGGGAGGGGGTAAACGGTACTCCGGCCGAAAATTTCCTTCTATTCCCCCCATTTCAACCCATTTTTTACCTATACTCCCACTACTTCCTTTTCTAGGGGAGGGAGGTATATACGCCCGCTGAAACGGCAAATTTTTATCCTGCGCGCCCTCCACTCGCCCACCTAGCCTACTACCCACGAAATCTTACTTTCACCTCAATCCCACACGAGATCGAGCACTAAAGTGGTACAGAACTCCCCCCCCTCCAGATAAACAAGTACGACCCCGCGGTACTTTGTAACCGTTAAGGGTGACCCAGCCCCAGGGCACGTACTAGCGCTTTCGCCGCCTGGCGGCGCTCCGACCGCCCACCTTGGATGTGGTGCGTGGCTGGCATAACGTGTGAAATCAGCTAGGTTGATTGCCGTATCAACCGATAGAACGACTGACATCTCCAGAAAACTTGTTTGTACGTGCCTCTTTCCCCAAGCCAGCCTCTTCACTGCTAGTGGGAAAGAGGGTTTTGTTAACGGCCGTACCCGGCCCGGATCTTTTCTCAGTTTTTTTCTCCACTGTCGTACTTAGCATCTCTATACTCAGTTTCAATCGCCATAATACCCCCTTTATTGAGCCCGACTTTTGCCTTTAAGGGAGTCTCGATATGACCCCTTCCCCAACAACTTCCCAAAGTGCCTGACTCTGAGAATGCGGACCGTCGACGCTCTAACCCTGCGCACTTCTCCCCTCTAAAATATTCTCTCGAGGCGAGTTCGACGAATGCGAGGGCGGTGGGGGATTATGTCTCAAAAAACGGCGACTCTCCGATTGTGTCTATTTCATGCTTTCTTTTTTATGATGGCCAAAAGTCGGCCAAGTCGGCAAAAATGACCCCTTCTTTCTCAATCACAATCCGTTCAATTTCTACAAACAGGATCCTCCTTCTGGACTTTTCCAGGGGAAGAGATGGTTGGCCCTGGTCAACAACAAATGGATGGCTGACCCTGTCCTCGTACCCTGTTCGCTGTAACAGATTTACTACTCGCTGCCTTACTTCTGCCCACCCAAGATCCAAATTCTGGATTTGCTCATATCTGACCGAGATTTTGCACATAAATTTAGGTCACACGGCGGAATATTCTGGAAACACCTCCCGATAAACAGCTGTAATATGCCACAACAACAAGAATAGGTGTTCGATAGTTTGCAGAAACGTTTTGATTTCCTTGATTACCTTTATTTTAATTCATTTTGTTCTTTTGAATTTTACCTTTTAGCTCCTATTCGAGTTTATGGACCACTGCCTCTCTCTGCGAAGGATTCATTTTCAGAGCCAAATTTTGAGGATAGCATGGAACTGCCATTAAGGTGATATAAAAATCTTATTGCTGTTGTTGAGAAACTAATCTCCAGGCAAAACGAAAACGGAGGTTTGACGGACTCGGAAATAGCTAGCGAACAATGGGTTTTTCTCTTGGAAGCTGCCATAAAAAGAACGGATAAAATAATCGCGGGAGGCCGATTAATTTGAGACACGCTAAAAATACGAATTTAATTTCCCTAATGGAGGGATTTTAATGTCCTTTTTTCCAAGGAAGGGTTCGTGAACGACGTTTAAGTCGGTGCTTCCACCATTTGCTTCCAATTAATCAGTCAAATTTGTTACAATGGAAAGTGACGTGTCAAACATGAATGTTTGAACATCTACCCTTCTTGTTCGAATGCCTTTCCTGCCTTCTTTTTGGAATCTTGCAACCTGTTGCTTGCTCATACACTGGGCCGCAGTCGTTGTTCCTCTTCTGGTTTGAAGGCTC